TACCCAAGGGCTCCTATGTGGTTCCTTTTTGTATAGTATAATATAATTCCTTACTAAAAAACCATAACAGACCCAAAAAGGAACTACATTGGAGCCCCTGGGTATAGTATAGCATAGTATAGTGTAGTATAAGTTTAGGGCTTAAGGTTTTAAGGAAGGGCTAACGGGTTTATGGGGGTACGGGGTTAGGGCTTGGGATCCTTATAGGTCAGGCTTAAGCGGTTTCTAAAGGTCTTGCAAGGATTGCCTAAGGGCATTGAAGGGGATGTTGGGGGGGTTTTCTAAGGGCTTTCGTAAGGGTGTGTTAGACCAACGTCATGAGTCATACCACAGCAACAGCATCAAGAGCTGCCAAAGGATGCCACTACTAGTTATTCAGACACCCATGCTCAAACCCCTTGTGCATGTCCGGCTCAACGCCCTAACAACAAAACCCCGAATCCCCAAACATCTAGAAGTTTCAGCGCAGGGTTTGGAGTTGAGCGATATAGGGATAGTGGATATGAAGGCCTAAACTGCCTCAAACCTGATCCGAAAAGTTTGGGGTTTTGCGCTGTCCGTCCTACCCTATAAGCCCGAAACAGCGAGAGGCCTGGCAGCTGTCCAGTGCACGGCAGGTCCTGGGCTTTTTTTGGTTTTGGACTTTCGGAACTGTGGCGTTTAGTGTTTGGGGTTTAGGGTTTCGGGCCTCATAAGGGATCCAAAGGCCTCAGGTGAGGCCCCTAGGGTTTTCGATTGAAACAGCTTGGACACTCCGGGCGAGGGTTTTAGGGTTTGGGGGTGCGCCTTGTGGTTTCCGGATGTATAGGGTTTAGGGCTGATGTCCGTTACTGAGGCTCCAGTGGTGGAGGGTTCAGCATTCAGGGAGGAAGACTTACTCATCTCCAGAGCTGAACCCACCTACTCACCAACCACACAAAACCTGCCAAAAGCTAAGCTTCTTCGCCATGAATTGCAGGACAGGGGGCTGGATAACACGCCCAGCTACCAGCATCATCTGTGTGAGCCGACTGAGCAAGCCTGCTGGTGTAGGATTTTGAGATTTGGGAGCTTTCGGCTCGAATTTGGCATTAAGGTACTAATGTAGAGGCCTTTATAAGTAGTATAAGATTTTGGGGCTCAGTATGCTATATTCATAAATAAGGAATCCCCAGAATAGTACTGGCAATGATTTAGGCCCCTACAATAGAGCATTATACGGACTTACGCGAACCGAAGAATCTGTCGAGTTTCGAGTACTATCCGAGTTTCCCAAAAGATGCTGGTCCGGAGCTTTCTTTCGAGCCCTATGACACGGGCTGCATGAAAATCCTACCCCACACTCTGGGAAAATAAAGCTTAAACCCTAAACTAATTGTGAACCTAAACCCTAAACCCTAAACCCTAAACCTGAAGTACTCGTAAAGGAGGCACGTGTATCTAGAAATGGTGGATCTTCCCGGGTGACCCTAAACCCTAAACCGTAAGTTACTGCTTGGGGCATCAGGTCGTGATCTGCCGCTTCGGTTCGGATTTTGGGGTTCAGGGCCTCAAAACTACGGAACAGCCATCCTCAAAGCCTGCCATACCCAGAAAGACCTACCTTTTTCGGGTTCCTTATTATGGTTTCTATATATAGTTCCTTAAAAAGGTAGGTCTTTTCGGTTACAGGTGTTACCCTTTAGACAAGACCCGTTTGACTAAAACGAGCATAACACCCACTCACCCCCCCCTCTCCCCTCACAAACAAAGAGGGATAAGCATCTCCAATGCTTCTCCCCTTTGAAAAGAAAGGGACCCTGCAACCCCTAAGCCCTAGCCCCAAGACCCTATAGTCAACCCCAGAAAGTTGGAATATGGGTTTTGGACTATCAGGGGTAGGATTCCCTATCGTTTGCCTTAAGGGCATGAGGATGACCATGTTCCAACCTTTCTGGCTTCTACTTTACCCTAAACCCAAAAACCCTAAACCCTAAAACCCCAAACCCTAAACCCTAAACCCAAGAGCCTGCAGCTTTCGCCCTGTCCAGGAAGGGGTTCAGCTGCTCGAAATCCTCCTCGGCACTGGGGCTCCTGGCAGGCATAAACCCCAACATCTGAAGCGGATTCAGCTGGCTACAACTAATGGTACCTCAAAAGGAGCGTTTGCTTTTACTTACTTCCCCAATAAGCCAGGGAAGTGAAAGGTTAAACTTTCAGATTGCCGCTAAGTTATAAGAACCCAACAAGTTTAAAGGTTGGGTATTGGAGAACTAAGTAAACCCCAAAATCTGAACTAGGGCTAAGCCATACTAAGGATACCTCTTTCTCAAGCATTCTAAGATTGATCTTTGGGTCGATTTGGGTTTTTTTGGGGAGCTAGGGTTCAGATTTGGCCTTTCCAGTCCTTTCGAACGGGTTTAGGAGGCTGGAGATTCAGCTGGCTACAACTAATGGTACCTCAAGAGGAGCGGTTGCTGTTAAACATGCCCCAAGTATCCTGCTCCAAGGAACCGCGCCAGCAAGCGATCCACCCTTTACAAAAACACAAACAAAAGTGTAGTGTTTGCAACGACAATTCAGACAGCCCCGTGTCTCTCTCTCTCTCTCTCTGCCGTGCCATTATCAAGAGTCTCGCTATGCAAGGTGCTTGTACTGGCATATTAACCATACTAGTACTAGTACGAATACTGCTACGACACGTCAACTACCACCAGTAATAATCACCGCCGTGGTAATGATTCCACCCAGGACAGCATGCCAGCGATGTGGACCACAGATTAATTAATGCCTGAACTCGCCCAACAACTCACCCCCACAAATTCCTGAAAGCCTTAGCCTGTATACTAGCCTTACCCTATGCTTCCAAGGACCTCACAGTTAGGGCCCCAGACTCCTTAAGGACCGAAGAAGAAGGTCCCTCAAGGCACAGGGTTAAAAGACAGTTTAATATAATATCCTTAGATGTCCGAGGCGCAGAAGTCCGCAACAGAGGTGTTCAAACCACAGCGTAGCCTCGAGATCCGCATAGCCTGGAGTTCGCAACGCGATGACGAGGTTCAAGTGGCAAGGTCCCTCTAAAGCCTAAACTCACTCACTCACATCGCAAAGTGGTCCGCCTAAACCACAAGTCCTAGAATGGTTTAGGGTTTAGGGTTTAAGGGTTTAGGGTTTAGGGTTTAGGGGTTTAGGGTTTTAGGTTTAGGGTTTAGGGCCCTGTTCACTGAACCCTAAACCCTTTGGGCGCAGCTTTCCAGACGTCAAATCTGAACCTCACAGGGCGGGTCTCTCGAGAACCTAGACGCAAAACGTACCGTTTTGAGAGCACCAGGCATTTTGGTAAGGCAGGGCTTGGAGTGCTTAATTATAGGGTTTTGACGTTTTCCGCTTCTGATTGGTAGAGCCGCGTCCACAAAATCTCTTCCAAGGTTGCAATGTGCCCCATTAGTCTCAGGTTTAAAGGTTCAGTGTGGGGCTCATGGTGTGGGGCTTGCCTAGACCCTAAACCCTAAACCATTTTGGCTTGTATATAATGTTCGGCTGAAGCCGCCGGCATGGACTTCGCGGAAAGGGTTTAGGGGTATTAAGCTCTAAGCCAGAGCCCACCTCAAACCGTAAACCTCGCTTGAAAGCACAAATCCAGATTCCGTCTGTCGAATTTGGTTTGAGTATGTACGTCCCCCTAATGATTCCAGCAAGGTGCGCAAAAGCCAGAACCGCAGCCGGTCCCTCAACGGTGCGCCGTTGGAGGAGGTCAGGTCAATGTCGTTGGCGTCACCGAAGGATTTGCTGATGGCCATGGCCTTAGCTCGGTTAGGGTTTAGGGTTTAGGGTTTAGGGTTTAGGGTTTAGGGTTTAGGGTTTAGGGTTTGGCTCGAAGGGCCTTAATATTTTAAATAGGGTTTTGGGAGTTCCTTATTATTGTAATCACGGTATAGTATACCCCCAAACCCTATTCCAGTACACCAAGAAAAGCCCTACAGACTCAAGCATCCATAACTCTCTATGGGCTGTAGGAGGGACCCTTAATAGAGACCCTTGTAGGTTATTGGGGTTTATGTGGAGACTACCTGGCTATGTAAAGGGTATATAAGGACTACACAATGGCTATTTAAGGTAATGGGATTAAGGGTCCCTACTAGGGGTCCCTCCTAAAGTCCTTTTAAACTCTGGCTCAGAATGTTCCGCCTCAATCGCCGTATATGCCGTTTAAGCTGCAGGCCGTGAAGCCAAAGGCCAGAAGACTAGATCCCTAAACGGTTTGACTTTAAGGTTTGGCCAATATCTCTTAGTTGAGGATTATACTACGAAGAAATGTAGGGGGGCTTAGCTTCATTTTCTTCAATTACCCTGCCCCCCCACTCTGACTGGAGCGAGCCACCATCAGGATTGAATGGTTAGGCTTATCGGTAGAAGCCTTAAGGAAAATTGGGTTGAGGGCGTAAGGGGTTGGAACGGCCCCCATGCCAAAGTGCTAAACTTCCCGAAACTCGGAAGATGCAACTTGAGCTCCATGTCAAGCCCCAACCCTAAACCTTATTAGGGTTTAGGGTTTAGTGGGTTTAGGGTTTAGGGCCCTATAAGCCCTCAACCCTTATACCACCTCTGCCAAAGTGACCACAAAGTCTTCGTCCTTGGATTTCAGCTGCAGAAGCTCCTGCCGCAGCTGCTCGATCTGCACCCTGGCCTGATCGTCGCGGGTTTGGGGGTTTTCGTCCTTGGGGGCCTCGGCTTGGGAGTGTAGGGTTTAGGGTTTAGGGTTTAGGGTTTAGGGGTTTAGGGTTTAGGGTTTAGGGGTCATGCTTGGGAGAACAGCTGATGATAGGACAAACGACCAAAGAAGATGAATCTTGATCCCCAGAGCCCGGTGC